TTTGGGAAACTACCAAATCTGAATCTTGTGTTCAGTGTAGCCATCCCTGCTTGTGTGGAAAACTCGAGAGCTTCCCTGATAGGTCTCCGCCCGTCTATCAGGGCCTGGAGGCAAAGCTGCGGCGGAAGACAGCCTTCTAGTTGCGAACCCTCGACAGGCCACGCCCGGTCGTGTGTTAAAGCCAGGCACAGCAAAGCGTGAACTAAGTTTGCTATACGCAGCTACCTGCGGTGAGGCTTATGAGGCATCAAAATCAGCATCTATCACCACCGCCACAACCATCAGCATTAGCACATGGTGACCAGCAATGGCATTGGAAACCAGCTATCGCGGCAGTCTCGGGTCTTGCAGCCACCCTTCCGCAGACGGAAACACAAGCGACAGCAACTGAAAGCCCAGTGGCAAGCCATCAAGGACCGCGTTTGTCAAGAACCAGGTGCAGCTTCATGGCAGGAAACATGGCAATAAAATGATCATGGAGCACATGAACAGGAAATCTTGCCAGGCCTCAGCAGCATATGTAACTCTGAGATCCGTTGAAAGGTCTGCTTCAAGCAGTTTGTGCAGCGTCATGCCTCTTCCTCTGGAGGCTCTGAGATTGCCCATTGATTTTGCTGAAGCAGATCTTCAGGACGCGAAGTCGCTTAAAGGGGGAAAGCTAGTGTTGCGGCGGCATTGCGGCCGTTTCCAACATGCTGATACATGCTGATGCCTGTTACCAACCTTCAAGATCCAAAGTACAAGCCAGAAGCAAGTTCGGGTTGGCTTGGCAGGATGGCGAGCACTGCCAAGTGCAGCTATGGCGGGTGATGCATACTGTCGTGGTGGCACGTGAGCGCCCCGATCTTGAAGCTCAGGTCCTGGAGGCCAGATGAGCTGTTTTGCCAACCCGTTCAAACGGGCAGTCTAGGGTCAGAAGCTTCAATAGGGTCTACTTCATGCGCCTATAACGCTTCAGCTGCCTGCCCGTGGATAGATGACTGTATAGTGAAGCAAAATTGATTCGTTCCAAGTGGTGCTATTCTTCCTTACAATTGCGGTTGTGCGCTGCAGCTTGCACTCTGGAGCAGGTGTGCTGCTTTGCAGTTTTTTTTGCGTGCTACTGGTAGCATTCTCCTGACTGTCACCTGAAGGTTTTTGGCAGGGGCCAGATGCTGGCAGTTGCTGAAGAGGACCGACGGGGTCCCTGGTAGGACAATATCAGCAAACCTGAAGCGGTGCTTCAGGTTGAAAGCCCTTGGGTGAAACTCGCGACTCCTTGCGGCTTCTTGGGCGGCAAGTTGAACACGGAGCTCCACAAGGCAGCGAAGAGACACCAAATCCCAGGAAAGCGTGAATCTGAAATCAGTGATGCCTTGCCAGGTTGGCAGGGCGGCCGCATACATGCTCACAGATGGTTCAGCCGCCCGATTGCACAGGACCCTAGTTGGGCTCTGGTTCCTCCACAAGTGGCATGGATCTGAGGCGAAAGGCCTCGGGAAGCTACTGGAGAAGACCAACCTTTGGATGCGCATGCGCCGGAGGGACCTTCAGAGCCTTCAAGATGGAAGCTTCGATGCCAAAATACTTTGAGGGTAGCTCGGGGTTTGGAGGACGACTGTGAAGCGCCAGCGGCATTCATCACAGGCAAATTACCTCTGAAACTGACAAAGTCACCGGTGTTCTTCTTGTTGATCATTCATTAGCGTTATGCTTAGCGGAACGGATGCTACTTGTGTTTAGAATGTTGTCATGACTGCTACACCATACTACATGTAGAACTAGTGCAAGTACAAGTCATTCGCAGCAGAAGGACAAGCAGTAGTAACACAAATCGTAGCAGCGGCAGCTGCCACCGCATCCAGCTTTAGCCGCCGCAGCTTCGCAGCAGCCGCAGCAGTGGCAGAAGTGGCGGTAGTAGCAGGAGCATTTGTAGCAGCCGGAGGAGGAGTAGTAGTA